CTAGCCAACGTGCCAACTTCTGATACGGCGCGTTTACGATTGAGACGATTGGACGCTGTGGGATGCCTTTGTGTGTCTTCGGTAATCCATACATGTGAGGGAGTCGTGACCTACGCGGGCACGACTTGGTCAGGGTTTACGTGTCAATCAATCCAGCTTTTTCAGTTCTAGAACTATGAACTTTTCAACGTATTCGGTTCAATCGCGATCTGTCAAACCACGAACGCAACGGTCAGAATCTGCGAGAATAGCCTCCATCTTCTAAACTTAATTTTGTTTTTCCTTAATGACCACTCCTGATTCCTTGGCAGCTTTCAGTACTACCACGTTTTCATTTCGGCGCAGAGCGGCGAGCGATTCCCGATGATTCTTCGTTAAAATACTGCATGTTCGGTTTCAGCAACATAAAATTGGTTAGCTAAATCTACCACCTTGACCTTAAACCAACTGTAAGCGTCATCAATGGGTGCTGTCAAACTGGACAACTGATCGTACAAATGTTTGAACTGCGCCCCAATCTCTCTTCTGTCACACTTCTTATGGGGCACAGAAAAAGTAAACTCTAATGATAGAGCTTCAAGTTGAGAATGATTTAATGCGACAGTGAACAATTTAGGAACATATTTCTCAGGCTGTATCGGCATCTGGTCACTGAAGGGTTCAGGTGACGTGGCGCTCATAAGCTGTTGTTTAGTTAGTAGTCGTGTTTTCATCAGTAAATCCCGAAGGAAGTTGGAAATCTTTGCACAACACAAAAGATTCAAACTATTTAGGACTTGGTCGACACACTTTACACTGTCGTTCAAATCAGTAATGCACTGTGGAGGCTTCAGTGTGGGATCTTGTTATACGCCGCAAATTCCGAGGGTTTACTGGCAACTTGTCTCTTCTCAGTGTCCTCACAAATTTGCGTGAATACTGAAAGTCCGAAGACATTCAGGCGTTTGTTATGTCATTTCTTATTCTGACTCGTGCTACTTTGCTTGAGACAAAAGGTCATTAAACCAATACACCCTTTTGTGCCCAGTACGTGGAAACACCGTTGACGCTTTTGGATGAATTCCTTCTGATGTCACTGTCACGGGATTTCATCCAACCTCATCCAAACTACCATAGGTGATATCAACTGTTTATGCTAGTGACTTGATCACCACTGCGAGCTATTCGTCGAAAAGTTAAAAACCGCCTAAACCTAAAGCTTCGAAGAGATTTATTTCATTTTCGTGCATTTCAATGGATCTTTTGTTAGTTCACATGTTATTCCCATTGGGTCAGAAATTGACATTCATGCTAAGAACATTCTTTCCGATAACTCACTTCAAGTATAAAGCGAAACTACGACGCAAACAAGTTCATGTGATGTTTCTCATAATAAGATGAATGACCATAGAAGAAACAACACTTCAGTCCAGCTCGTTAGCTAAGCGGTATGAGATATCAATCATTTGATTGTTCAGTCGGTTTAAACAGCATACGCTAACATATGTGTGAGCAACTCTGAGTGGGACTGTTCTTGGTTAGGATGGATAATCAAGTGTTGATAGCAGACAACGCGAAGCATATTCCCAGAGATACTATAGTTTGTAAGCAAGAGCGCAACAGAGTTCTAATCTGCCCAGCAGACAATCGTCAAGATAAACGGACGGATGGACCTATTGAGAGAAGTACAAGAAGTATACATCGTGTACAGATGAGCCAAAAGATAGTGTACCTATTACAAGCGTTGCTTTCGGGTCGGTGCATCAGTTTACTTCGGTTGATGGTTACCTCGTGATCTAGGTCTCCCTTAATTTCGTATCATCTTCACCCCCTGCGAAATAAATGCAATATTCCAGTTTACTCAGTCTTCCGTCTATATCCAATGAATGCCTATGTTTGTGTTTCGAAGTGGGAAAAACAAAAGCTCCACGTTCGATTTGCGGAAGATGCGACCCATTGACTAAGCTGCTCCAACCTCATCACAATCCACTACCTAGGCCCCCGGCCACCTGAGTTAGTACATTATATGCACTCTTTTGCAGTACAACCTGAGCTCCAAAAAGTCTACAGTGTCACAGTTACCTTACCTATTTTTTCTCCAATGAGCAATACCACCTTGTATTCCATGGTCCTACGTTAATATCATAGCACACTGAACTTGGGGCAAAAATATGTACATGTCTGCAGCGTTATAGTAACCGGAAGTCGGCATATTAACACAGGTTTCGTATTGGAATTAGGCTTGGTTTTACCATTCATCGTTCAGTGTGGTTAAAGACGGCGCCTCAACAACGATGCCAGGCAGGTGGAATTGAAGAGCAACAGACTTGGCTATCTCTTGGCAGATGGATGCAACACGATAACAACAGCGATAAGCACATGCAGCTTACATCTATGGATAAATGATATGGTAATTAAAGACGCTGGTGGCAGTTATTAGTTTAATTCGCGGACCAATGTAATTTCTTGGGGAACCTCGGATGTGAATTGTTCATTCCAGAATGCACAGTTCCACAGAAAATAGAGAGCGACTGTTGCATTATCGATCAAGCGACGTTGCATGGACTGAGTAGAGACATGTTTTTCCAATATGCGCACTTTTATCAAGCACGCGACTAAGATTTGCGCAACCGTGTGGTAAAAATGCATGTATTGAATAGAACCAATCAGTGACTCTTTCGTTCGCTGAGCTTGAAAATTTGTTTGCAAACGCTTCATCACCATGGGAGGTGGCAGTCTAACCTAGAATGTTTGTGGTAAATTTTTGATGTTTGGGATCTGATTCTTCAAGAAGTCCGATAATACATAGTTATTAGTGTACAGATAACAACATTGTGTTAAGAAGATAAAACCTTTGTACTAAACATAAGTCTCCAAAATTGCCCATCAAAAAGTATGAAGGTGACCATGGGTCAAACTAGTGTCTTCACATCATGCTATCTCGATGAGTGATAGAAACAAGTGCGCTGACATTGGCGTATTCATGCAAATTTTATAGGCACCAGTAGCGCAGCGCGAAAGGTTTAGTGACCCGCACTCACGTCGCGCGACGATTTTGCCTTATTTTCGCAGCCGTAGGTGCGGAGAAACTGGCCCAGATTTTATGCGAGATTATACCGAGACTCCTAACAGAGCAGGGGATTCATTGCTGCGAATCATTTAAATAATGTGTGCAGACTAATAGAATATGCCCATTTGAACATACTTTTCAGGGTATTTATATTCCGTTCGCACTCTAAGCAGTTTTATCCGAAGTTTTGCGTGGTTTTCGCACTCAGACGGTAGTGCATTATTCGGTAACTCCTGTGGGACCACCATGGAGGATTCCATTTGTTTTCGGCAAGGAAATCTCCGGCAAGTCGTAACAATTGCTCAATAGACACCAGTATGCTGGAAGTGCTTCTTTTCATCGATTGTTCACTAAGTGCAACACAACCCGGACTTCGTTTGCAGTTGTTTCATGTTTGTTTCGGTAGACCGGTTGTCTAACGGAACCTGAGCACCATTCGGCAATACATCCATACACGAGTACAAATGGTTTCCATTATCTACAGTGACCACTGTAATAGTCAGCTGCATGTCACTTGATGTCTTAACTGCGTGCATAATTTCATGTCTGGGTTCGTGATGTCATCGCTTTGGGGTTCTGCAATTTTTCTGTGCATCTAGACAGCGTTTGCAACACAGCGAGATACCTGATTAATTTTGCAAACCTGCTGAGATTGGCCACAGAAGCATGTTATGATTTAAAGCAGTTTAGGATAAACTGTATTGTCATATTTCTTTATACTGTGGCGAGGATAAGTAAGGCGCTACGGTCCATAGAATTTAATTACAATTTGCATCAGTGTCAAACATAGATAAATCGACTCTCAGATTCCGTCCTAACCGACAGCGTAGAGGCAATTTTTATAGTGCGGGACTGGACTGTTGCTATGTAGCTCAAAGCTGATTGGATGGTCAATGGTCAACTGTATAGGGCGGATAAATATGTCTAGGCTCAAAATGTCCCGCGGGATGGTGAGTGAGGATTTTCAGAAGAAAAAGAATAACAATTCGTAACAGCGTAACCGAAAGCAGTGGATTTAGTGAGCAAAGTTTTCTTCGTCTGAATCGTTCACAAATGATTTAATGCAACTCTAAACCTCACCATCTTTGGTTTCACCAGAAAAACGAGTGTGGGTTGATGCGGTCCCGGTGTCTGAACGTGCACATAGTTCATGTGTGTTAAATGATATGGTGTAACTTGACTATTGCATTTTCGACACATTCTTTGAACACAGCTAATATAAGGGCACAAATAAAAAGGTTCTGGGATGTAATTTCAAATGTGTAAACTACGTAACGAGAAGAAATGTCGTCTACACTCTATCCGGCTGTATTGTTCTGAGTTCAAATGTTCGCCTCTCAGTCTGTTGTTATGCTTGAGCTTTAGCGACTGATAGCAAGAGTGATTAGGATTGCTTAAATCTAGTAAACCATAATAATATCACCACGCAAACGCCGATAGCGTCCACTGAATACTCTCGAAATACTTAGGCGCTATTCGCAAAATGAGTAGTGCATCCCTTTGACCTTTCGGTGGGCCGGCCACTTCAGCCATGAATGCCATGTTTGAATCGCATATTTCACTGGTGGGCCTATACCTGCAGAAGTCAGTTGGGAAAAAACTAATGCGTCGAAGTGAGCAACTACTCCCTTTAAGAGCCCTAGTTTATGTGTACTTTTTGATGATAGAGCTGATTGCTGTGAGCAACCGAGGTCTTCCTTGATTCGCACACCGGGATCCTTTTCCTGAGAACTGTTAGCGATCCTTGTAGCCCAGTCTATAGGTGTGATCCTTTTGGTTTTGTAGATATAGTACTCGACATCTGTCCACATTGAAGTGTAAACGATTGTAGACCGAAATTCATGTAATCTGCTGCGCGGGTGTAATTTCAGCTTGATACTTCTCAATTGCGCATTTAAAAGTACGACGAAGACAGAAATTTTACATGCATTACTCATTGTATTCCAAACAGTGTTGTGGTGGATCAACCCCCTCCACCTTATTGCGATTTCGCGAAGTATCAACTAGTTTCTGAATCCGTCGACAGAAGTGAGACTTCTGAGGTGACCAATCGGTATCCGACAATTCCAGTGATTGCACAACAAAACGTTTCAACTGCCGGTGGATTAAATGTTGATCAACAGTCCGACCGTTGGACGGAGCCGTTTCCTAAGCCTCCCGGGGAACCACCTCCAGCGCTTCACAACTGGTTCCTCACCCGATTGGCCTCAATCCGACGATCATTAATGGCTCACTTCTTCCAACATACAACACAGGGAAGACTGAACGATGCGGAACGAGTTACTTCAGCGGAACCACGCGATTTTGTTGTGGATTCGCCAACCCAAGTTTATTTGGATTCTGGCCCACAACCCGTCGAACCACATCACACTGTAATTACTTCATCCCTGACCAGGCTGGATCCATCGGACGCATCAGCTGATGCTACACTTTCAGCGTGTAGTCCGCAATATCAGTTCAGAGTTCCTCAAGCGACCAGCCCCACCTCAGTGTTTCCTCCAGAGTATCCCCGCGTCCTTTCTGTGTTACGGAGAACGGTGAGTTTGGAACGTTGGATGTGAGATGTTTGTTCAGTTGATTCCACACATAGTATTGAAAAAAACCGAATGATCATATTCCATCGATATCTCAAGTATGAACTAAGCCCATGAAGCCAGTGTGCACCTTCTTCGTTGTCTATGCACAGTTGCGTGATGCAGTCTGAGGAAGTTAGTAATCGGTGCTGCGGTTGCAGAAATGGACAATAGTTTATGTGTTCATGGACAGAATCACCAGATGACGCTAGTGGACCTGCATGAGCACATATTACAGGGTCTCCAGTGCGTGTATCGATGTGTAATACGTCGGCCCACTTGTAGAAAAGTAACCAGCTTCCCTACTCATCTTCCAAACATTCCAAGTCTTGGTAGACGTCACCTGCTGTTCATGCCCGCTTTGAACCAAATATGGTATTTGTACTGAATTGGTTTTCCCGTAGGACATGGGGTAACAACTAGTGCGGTGGATCTGGCAACGTTTCATCCTCGTCCAGGCAAAAGTAAGTCCATTCTAAGTATCTAAGCAGCATACTGCGTAACGAATTATGTTGCCATCGTACACCTGGATAGGGCGAGACCACCAATGATATAATTTTTTACAAAAATTTGCAACTGCAGCTTAATATATATCAGTTTCTTCATTGAAACTAAACCAAATCCAAAGAAAATAGTGATTATTGCAGAAAATATTGCTGATGGTGTGAATTTGCCGTTAATAATAGTGAAATATTTCACTTCGGTTAACTAAATGTTATTTTTGAAAGCAATGTTGTCATGGCACAATAGATATGTCACAAGATGACGGGCAGCGTTATATTACTAAATGGGCGGTATTCTGACAGGTATAAGTCATCAAGTGTGACTTTATACTTGTTGTCTGAGGGATTTTATGGACATATTTCATAGTGTAAAAACCTGAACATCAACCGATATGCAATAAATGCATAGGACTAGCTTTCCCAGCCAGAATATAGCTTCAGCTTCTTCCATTTTAAGCCAATTTTAATCAGGATAGTTATTAGGTTACGGCACAATTGACAATTGCTTAGGGACACCATAGTGAATTACTAATACCCGTCAATGCTACTGTTCTTGTCTATCAGCCTATACTCAAATCGCATATACCTCTGTCCAAGCCTTAAATGAACGGAACTGATGGAATTGAACACACTTGCAAGTTACTTGTGCAACGCGGATCCTGTAGGGAAAACGTTTATCCTGACCTCCCTTGGAGCATGCGATAATCAAAAAGAAACACCTGGGAAGGACGCAGCGAGCAGGGTCGTCCAAACACGATTTTCACTCAGCGTGCCAGAGCTTCCTTCTCACTATAATTACGAGATCATAAATCCCGACTTGGTACAGTGGCGGTTCATTCGAGAAACAATTCTCCTGGATGATGTCGCTGCTCCATCGCTTAAATTTGTAGTGGGTGCGGTCCTAAAATCCCAAAACTCCTGGTTCAGTCAGAACAAACAGCGACGCTTGTGTTAAAAGATTGGTGAAGATATCGGACGGGCCTTGTATCCGAACTTCGGTTGACACCTGCAGCAGCTTTGCAAAAGCCACGCATGGGTATATCTGAAAAGCAAACCAACCAGTGATTACGCAGGAGCTTCACTTTATCGCTCCTTGACGCGATTTCGGGCTAGATCTAGGAGGAAGGTTGAGACTACCTTAACCAAATCAGGCTGTGGACCATGTATCATTATCCCTTCAAAAAAGCGAATAACTAATGACCACACATCGGTCGGCATTATCCCACACCTGACTCCTTTGGCCTTCCGTTGGCTCCTAGAGACCGAGGAAGTACCTTTCCTTTATGAAAATGCACAAGTCCTTTTCAGTAAACTATCCGAACTGAAAGGTTGCCTAATTTCTAAGCCATGCGATATCACTGGTGTCACGGAGACATATTTACACACTGGTATTACGGACGCTGAAGCCTTGTTGCCGGGCATGTCGCTCGTCTGCAGCGACCAGTTCACAAAGGCAGGTGATTAATTCTATGGTACCGAAGCGATCTACAGTGCGAGGCCGTAGGTGGTTCAGGTATTCAGTTCACTTATTCTCTTGATGCCGCCTTAATGTACCGTCCCCTAACTCTACACCCGAAATGGATTGCCACTTTGCGATTGCTTTAAGACGCACTCTAAATGGACGAGACGCTCACATCCCTATCATGGCTGATTTCAATTTACATTGTTTAGAAACCCCTGCCATGTTTGGAGAACCACTTAAAGCCGATTTGCTGGAGCTTGTAACCAGTGCTCCGCTTTATAATCACATTACGCAGCCCACTCGGTTCCGAACAGGCAACAAACCATCTGTGCTGAATCTTGTGTTTACCAACGAGGGGCATATGATTGATGTGTTGGTTGTAGACTTCCCGTTTGATCACAGTGATCATGCAGTCATCAGGTTCAACTTCAGCTGTGATGCGGAAAATTGGCATAAGAACTATACGACGATACTCACCACCACACTCGACGATCAATTTGCCCAGCTCGTCAGCGCTACAATCGAGTTGTTCCTTGCCGAAGAACCTCAGAAAGTCGCCTGGCTTGGGTTTCTCAACAACTTTAGTCGGTTGATTACAGATGTTTCAGAAATAAGAGTTTACAATGGGTCTAAATAAGTTTTGTTTGTTACCAGAACTCTAAAGTTGATGTTAGTAAGCAACGTAGCATGGAGAGCATATAGATTAGCTACAAGGCCAGTAACCTGGGACAACTACTAGCCCAACGTAACAAATGCACTCAAGTGTTCAGAAAAGGGAAAGTCGCTTAACAGCAAAGCAGCGCAGTAGTTTTCAGCGCCAACCACAAACTACTGTACAAGAACGCTAAAAGCCTAGGAAAGGGGAGCCAGGGATTCGCTTCATTCCGGATGGACTGTGACCCAACAAGAACGGCTATAGAAGCAGCAAACGCGCAGCGGATGCAATAAGCCACACGTTTCAGAGTGTCTTGCCATCAAACGATCCTCCAGCTCTTGTCTGCCTGCTGAGAGGACTCACACATGTCCTTTACTGCTGAAAGTGCCCTGCAAAAGATGGCTACTCTGTGCAACCTCAGCTGCCAGGGTGTCGATGTCAATCATCCAGAGGCACTGGCAACAGCCGCAAGGAAACTAGCAGAAACATTGGCTCAGTTATCACTGTGTTGCTTAGACCAGAACAAGGTTCCTGCCTCGCGAAGGCTTGGAATAGTAACTCCGATTCACAAAGGCCGAAGCAAAACTGAACCTTCAAAATACCGCCTAGTATATCTTCCTTCTATACTGTCAGAAGTCATGGAATATATCATTGCGGACAAGCTGACGTGCTATCGCAAAAAGGTTAGCATGAATAAATAAATAAATAAAATGTTTATTCTCGACTACGCGAGGCACGCCTGCCCAGGCATGATCATAATAAGAGTACAAAAAGGTACGAAGTTAATGTACAATGGAACAATAGGGTTGTCACTTATGTTGATATTTGAATGTATTTATGTAGACATGTAGGCATGTGTAGCCATGTTTATGGGATTTGTAAATGTTTTCATGCACTTTTGGTCCTGTCGACAGTGTTAAAGGGATGCTTGATGCTTGTGGACTTGAAGCGGTTGTCTGGATAAGCAAGGGTGTGACTTCAGTTGGTGGCGAGTCACAATCGCCACGTCACGCAGATATTTGTAGTTTTGTATCGGGAGAACGCTTGCCAGGCGTAAACCCACCACGTCCTGTAACACTGCCACCGAACTATTTGCTGGAACGGGATAAACCCGACTCACTTAGCTGGCACCATGAGGAGGTTATTCGGCTAGCCAGCCATGGCTTCCGCAGCGTGGCTTCCGTTTACAGAGGTGTTGCACAACGAATATATCACTCGCATGGAATAGTTGGACCACGTGAGCTGACGCTGGAGAAGACATTGATGTGATCTACCTAAATTTTTCGAAGACATTCAATCGTCTGGATCAGAGGTTACCAAACTACGACCTACTGGCCGGATCCGGCGAGCAATATCAGTTCATCCGGCCCGCTGACTCTACCGGAATTTGTTGGGTAAGGCATAAGGAACACGCGATTTTGTGACAGACTTTATGTCTGACAATGCATATCGTATTGTCCGTGACAATATTCTTTGGACACCAGCGTGAGCCAGCTCATGGTTCTTACATGGGACACCGTACCTCCGTAATTTTACCGCCCCACATCACTGGAACATTAATGTGTGTGATTACGCACGAAACGCATTTATTCATGTTTGTTAAACTCACACATTTTTGCCCGCAAGTTCCCGTTAGTCAGCTCCTTGAAACATGTGCCATGTAAAACGCCTCTTTTTAAGACGCATGCTTGGTGTGCGCTGCGGTGCATTCAGCTCCATCCGAACACACCGTATCCAGTGTAAACCCGAAGGAATAAAGCTGGGAGGCATGTATACGGCTTTCCTATCACTGTGGCCTTGATGGGGACAGCCACAGGACGCCTGCGCCTACAGAGGGACCACGGGTGGCTTGCGCTGCACCACCCACAGCTCCAACCACGCCGTATATCCAGTGTAAACCAGAAGGAATAAGACCGGGAGGCATGCGGATGGGAGCCACGTTTCATCAACGGAGCCGGCCCACACTCCTTCAACAAGCAGAACGGAAGCATTCCGGCCTAATTGGGAAATCATGCACACCAGACGTACACAAGGCGGTGGTTGGGCCGTAGCCCGTTCCACATGGGATGCAATGAAGCACTTTTTGAGCCTAGCACCGTCACCAGGACAGTGCACCCCCTACCCTCCAGCAACGATTCACAGTATCCTGGATCCAGTATTAGAGATAAAGGGTTTTTAGCAGGTAGACGCATTGGCAACCTTACTACAAGCGCAGCCAAGTAATTCAAATCACATTGGAGGTAGAATTGATGTTAAGCGCATGTCCGACTTATTATGTTTTAAACATACATTTGTGGTCATTTCCATTACCCAAGAGACCATTAACTGTACAATTATCACTGGT